CTAATGAACAAAATAAATTGTTGAATAAAGTCAATCCAGAGACACAGAAGTATAGAACCGACTGCAGAATCTCAGAGAGAAGGAGGGGGAGGGTGGGTCGATGGGAAGAGATTAAGGAAAGAACTTGTCTGCATATAAATATAACCCCTGGACACAGAAAATAGGGTGGTGAAGGCCTGGGGTGAGGTGGTGGAGGAGGAGGGGTTGGGCTAGAAAGAGTCAATGGAGGACATATGTAATACTTTCAACAATAAAGATTTAATTTAAAAAAAAAGAGAAATGAATTAAAGCATAAGGGAATGAAGGACTGACTAGGAGTGTGTGTGTGTGTGTGTGTGTGTGTGTGTGTGTGTGTGTGTGTATGTGTGTGTGTGTGTTTGCACATGGTCAGGTGCGCTTGTTTACACTAAACAAGGAAAAGGTCTAAGTTTGAATATATGTTGATAGAAGATAATGAAACATTGGGAAGAAGGACTATTGTCTCCCTTTCCTCAGAGGGAGGCAGTGGGAGAAGGATGGCTTAGGAGGAGTTGGGAAACTCCTCCAACTGAAACAGGAGGGGAGAAGAACTGGCAGAGGGACATTGGCCAAAAGACACATAGATTTGATTGTGGGAACTGGATTGGGTTCTTTTCTATTTAAAAAATATATATATTTTTATTGACTTTAGAGAGAGAGGAAGGGAGATATAAAAACATCTATGAGAGAGAAATATTGATCAGCTGTCCCCTGCACGCCAAGTGTAGGAATTACTAAGGCCTTTGAGCAAAGTCTAACTAAAGATTGGATTTCTCCTGAAAACAGTTCAATATGCAAGACTCAAGTATTCTCAGTGCTTTGATTTTTATGAACATGTAAAACTGAGCATAGTACATGGACAAAGCAGAAGGAACTGGTAAAGGAAAGGTTGGAGGTGTGAAGAGGGGATTCCAGAAAGAACAGGATGAGAGGGGAGGCAGGAAATTGTGGAGTCAAAGACAGAGGAGCCTTGACCCTTCTAGAACAGAAGGAAAAAAGAAGGGAGACATGAAAACTGAGATGCATGGCTATGCAAAAACAGAAAGGAGACTTAGAAGAAAGTCAAGGGGCTCAGATTCCACAGCAGCAGCACCCTTTAAGAACTGTTTAAGCACATGGGATATGCTACCTCCTGTGACCTTGGCAACCACCATGTGAAAAGGCATGTCAAATTCATGTACAGACCAGTAAACTTGAAGATTAAGGAACCTGCCCCCACTCTTCATCTAGTAACTGACAGAAGTGAGCTTCCTATCTGACGTCCAATCAGGTGAAGTGTAATAAGGTCTCAATTTTAGTGTCCTCCACCTCATTCAGGGCTTCCCACCATCGCATCCCAGACCCCTTTCAGTGAGTACATGCCAAGCTTCCATCTTCAGCTCAGGACTGAGAAACCACACCCTCCTCCAGGATGTGCCAGGGGCTCCTCAAATTCAGTGTATTCTAAACTAGACTTTCCTCCCTAACCAAAAACACCTGTTCCTCCTCTCAGGACTAGCTTGATAATTCCTAGGATCCATACAAAAGGAAAATGCAATGACCAAGGTCAAACATCAGGAAAGAAAGAAAATCAAAGGTACTAAGATATAAAGCTTTATTCCCTCCACCCCACAGCTGCAGCTGTAGTTGCTCATCATTGACATTACTTTGAGGGCTGGGCAGCCACAGGAGGGGAGATAGTTGCCCTAAGACCATAAATCAGAGAGAAAGTGAGAACTAGGCAGGATGGGAGAATGGGGTTGGGAGCAGATACATACCCTCAAGTTGAACCCCACCAGAGCATCCCCATTCAGCTAACTGGGCATTTGGCAGGTCTGATGTAGTTAACCGTTAGGCCCAGTACACAACTGGAAGGTTGGGTTAATTAATTGTACAGTGCTGATGTGGCGAGTAGGAAGCATTGGTAAGAATCACACAGGAGTGAGAAATGTTGATGAGTGGCTCCTTGGCTGCAGAAGGAAATAAAAATCTCCCATGCTCTGGCTGATTTGGCTCAGTGGATGGAGCATCGACCTCCAGATTGAAGGGTCATGGGTTTGATTTCCACTCAAGAGTGAGAACCTCAGTTGCACCTTCAATTCCTGGTGCTGCAACTGGGATCGCTTGCAGGAGGCAATCAACCCTTTTATCTTTCACATCGGTGTTTCTCTCCTTCTCTCTCCTCCCTCTCCTCCCTTCAACTCTCTCTAAATATCAATGGAAAAAATATCCATGGTGAGAATTAAAAATAAAATTTCTTTTTTATTTATTTTTCAATCTTTATTGTTGAAAGTATTACATAGGTCGTACTTTTTTCACTATAAACCAATTCCAGCCTGCTCCCATCCTCCCCCAATCCCCACAAAATTTTAAAAATTTAAATAAAATGTCCCAGGTTACTATAAGCCAGACATGTGTTTTTCTTCCTTGAATATCGCCAAGGACCCCAAAAGGGCCACAGTACTAGATATGGAATCCAGACACCAGTTACCCTGAGGAGAGGATCCTCAGGACATGCAACTCTCTCCCACAGGCTGGTCAGATGTGGCCTCACATACAACTGCTGCCAGGACCTGGCCTCCATGCTGGGCACCAACCCCTTCCTGAGAGAGTTGGACCTGGGACAGAATGTCCTGGGTGGCTTTGGCATAAATCGTCTCTGTGCAGGTCTCAGGCAGCCTACCTGCCAACTCAGGAAACTCTGGTAAGGCCCTGGGGTCATTTCTGGGCAGAGGGCAGGGAAGGGGAGGGAGAGCGATGGAAAGGGGTGTGGGGGCCCTGAATTGGACAGGGGAGGTAAAGGGGCAGAAAAATGCATGGGCAGCCTGACTTTCCTACCGGATTTGCCACTGACTTAGGCCATGAGTCGGGCAGGTCTTCATCTGAGACTCAGTTTCTTCATCTGTATAACAGGACTATCATACCCACCTCATAGATGTGATGAAATAAAATGCATGTAAAACTAGAGCAGCGCTGGGCACAGAGTTGAGAGGCTCCAATGAGAACCACTGGTGAGGCCACATGTTCCGAGAATTCCTGCCCATGTTTACTTGTCCATCCATGGCAGGCCTTCCTTCCTTCCTTCCTTCAATCCTTCCTTCCTTCCTTCCTTCCTTCCTTCCTTCCTTCCTTCCTTCCTTCCTTCCTTCCTTCCTTCTGTCCTTCCTTCTGTCCTTTTTTCCTTCCTTCCTGCCTTCCTTCATCCCTAACTCCCTCCCTCCCTTCTTTCCTTCCTTCATTCCTTCATTGCCTCATTCATTCATTCATTCATTCACTCTTTCATCCTTTCATTCAGTACATGACTCCCTTGTGCCAAGCACTGCACCAGGCACTGAGGAGGCAAATTTGAGCAACACACACGGGCCCTGCCCCTGTAATCTTACACTTAAGCCTTGGACCTTCTGGGACAGAAGGAAAAAAGAAGGGAGACATGAAAACTGAGATGGGAGGCTGTGTAAAAACAGGAAGGAGACTTAGAAGAAAGCCAAGGGGCTCAGGTTCCACGGCAGCAGCATCCTTTAAGAACTGTTTAAGCACATGGGATATGTTATCTCCTGTGACCTTGGCAACCACCATGTGCAAAGGCATGTCGAATTCATGTTACAGACCAGTAAACGTGAAGCTTAAGGAACCTGCCCCCACTCTTCATCTAGTAACTGACAGAGGTGAGCTTTGACAACAGGCCTATCTGACGACCAATCAGGTGAAGTGTAACCAGGTCCCAATTTTAGTGTCCTCCACCTCATTCAGGGCTTCCCACCATCGCATCCCAGACCCCTTTCAGCGGGAACCTGCCAAGCTTCAATCTTCAGCTCAGGACTGAAAAACCACACCCTCCTCCAGGACGTGCCAGGAGCTCCTCAAATTCAGTGTATTTGAAACTAGACTTTCCCCCCTAACCAAATATACCCTTTCCTCCTCCCAGGACTAGCTTGATGATTTGTAGGATCCATACAGATGAAAATGCAGTGCCCTTGCTCAAACATCAGGAAGCAAATGATATCAAGGGTACTAAGATATAAAGCTTTATTCTGTCCACCCCACGGCTCTAGCTGGAATTGCTCATCATTGACATTACTTTGAGAGCTGGTCAGCCACAGAAGGAGAGATAGTTGTCCTAAGGCCATAAATCAGAGAGAAAATGAGAACTAGACAGGATGGGAGAATGGGGTTGGGAGCAGATACATACCTTCATGTTGAACCCCACCAGAGCATCCCCATTCAGCTAACGGACATTTGGCAGGGCTGATGTAGTTAACCATTAGGCCTAGTACACAACTGCAAGGTTGGGTTAATTAATTGTACAGTGCTGGTGTGGAGAGTAGGAAGTATTGGTAAGAATCACACAGGAATGAGAAATGTTGATGAGTGGCTCCTTGGCTGCAGGAGGAAATGAAAATCTTCCATGCTCTGGCAGATTTGGCTCAGTGGTTGGAGCATTTATCCCCAGTTTGAAGGGTTAAGGGTTTGATCCCCAGTCAAGGGTGAGAACCTCAGTTGCAGCTTCAATTCCTGGTGTCCCAACTGGGGCCATTTGAAGGAGGCAACCAATTCTTTTATCTTTCATATCTGTGTTTCTCTTCTTTTCTCTCCTCCCTCTCCTCCCTTCAACTCTCTCTAAATATCAATGGAAAAAATATCCTTGGTGAGGATTGAAGTAAAATTTCATTTTTTTCCTTTTTTATTTTTTTTTGCCAGTCTCTGTAACCTTTATTTTATTTTTATTTATTTATTTTTCAATCTTTATTGTTGAAAGTATTACATAGGTCATCCTTATCCCCCCATAAACCTCTTCCAGGCTGTTCCCATCCTCAGCCATCCCCACCAAAAAAAAATTTTTTTTAAAGATTAAATAAAAGTCCCAAGTTACTATAAGCCAGACATGTGTATTTCTTTCTTGAATATCACCAAGGACCCCAAAAGGGCCACAGGACTGGAAATGGAAACCAGACCCCAGTTACCCTGAGGAGAGGGCCCTCAGGACATGCAAATCTCTCCCACAGGCTGGTCAGGTGTGGCCTCACGAACAACTGCTGCAAGGACCTGGCCACTATGCTGGATGCCAGCCCCAGTCTGATAGAGTTGGACCTGGGACAGAACATCTTGGGCGACATCGGTGTGAGGCTGCTCTGTGAAGGGCTCAGGCAGCCTGCCTGCCAACTCCAGTACCTGAGGTAAGGCCCTGGGGTCATTTCTGTGCAGAAGACAGGGAAGGGGAGGGAGAGCAATGGAAAGGGGTTGGGGGCCCTGGATTGGACAGGGGAGGAAAGGGGCAGAAAAATACATGGGCAGCCTGGCTTTCCTACCGGATCCGCCACTGACTTAGGCCATGAGAAGGGCAGGTCTTCATCTGAGACTCAGTTTCTTCATCTGTATAACAGGACTATCATACCCACCTCATAGATGTGATGCAATAAAATACATGTAAAACTAGAGCAGCGCTGGGAACAGAGTTGAGAGGCTTAAATGAGAACCACTGGTGAGGCCACATGTTCAGAGGATTCCTGTCCAGGTTTACTTCTCCATCCAAGGCAGGCCTTCCTTCCTTCCTTCCTTCCTTCCTTCCTTCCTTCCTTCCTTCTTTCCTTCTTCCTTCTGTCTTCCTTTCTTCCTTCTGTCCTTGCTTCCTTCCTTCCTTCCTTCTGTCCTTCCTTCCTTCCTTCCTTCCTTCCTTCCTTCCTTCCTTCCTTCCTTCCTTCCTTCATTACCTCATTCATTCATTCACTTTTTCATCCTTTCATTCATTTTATAACTCCCATGTTCCAAGCATTGGACCAGTCACTGAGGAGACAATATTGAGCAACACACACAGGCCCTGCCCCTGTAAGCTTACACTTAAGCCTTGGCCCTTCTGGGACAGAAGGAAAAAAGAAGGGTTACATGAAAACTGAGATTCAAGGCTGTGTAAAAACAGGGAAGGGACTTAGAAGAAAGTCAAGGGGCTCGGGTTCCACGACTGCAGCATCCTTTAAGAACTGTTTAAGCACATGGGATATGTTACCACCTTTGACCTTGGCAACCACCATGTGCAAAGGCATGTCGAATTCATGGTACAGACCAGTAAACTTGAAGATTAAGAAACCTGCCCCCAGTCTTCATCTAGTAACTGACAGAGGTGAGCTTTGACACCAGGCCTATCTGACAATCTATCAGGTGAAGTGTAACCAGGTCCCAATTTTAGTGTCCTCCACCTCATTCAGGGCTTCCCACCATCGCATCCCAGACCCCTTTCAGTGGGTACATGCCACGCTTCCATCTTCAGCTCAGGACTGAGAAACCACACCCTCCTCCAGGATGTGCCAGGGGCTCCTCAAATTCAGTGTATTCTAAACTAGACTTTCCTCCCTAACCAAAAACACCTGATCCTCCTCTCAGGATTAGCTAGTTAATTTGTAGGATCCATACAAAAGGAAAACGCAGTGCCTTTGCTCAAACATCAGGAAAAAAATGAAATCAAAGGTACTAAGGTATAAAGCTTTATTCCCTCCACCCCACAGCTGCAGCTGTAATTGCTCACCATTGACATTCCTTTGAGGGCTGGGCAGCCACAGGAGGGGAGATAGTTGTCCTAAGGCCATAAATCACAGAAAAAGTGAGAACTAGGCAGGATGGGAGAATGGTTTGGGAGCAAATACATACCCTCATTTTGAACCCCACCAAAGCATCCCCATTCAGCTAACGGACATTTGGCAGGGCTGCTGTAGTTAACCATTAGGCCCAGTACACAACTGCAAGGTTGGGTTAATTAATTGTACAGTGCTGATGTGGTGAGTAGGAAGCATTGGTAAGAATCACACAGGAGTGATAAATGTTGATGAGTGGCTCCTTGGCTGCAGAAGGAAATAAAAATCTCCCATGCTCTGGCCAATTTGCTCAGTGGTTGGAGCATTGACCCACAGATTGAAGGGTTAGGGGTTTGATTCCCAGTCAAGGGTGAGAACCTTAGTTGCAGCTTCAATTCCTGGTGCCCCAACTGGGGCCATTTGCAGGAGGCAACCAATTCTTTTATCTTTCACATCCGTGTTTCTCTCCTTCTCTCTCCTCCCTCTCCTCCCTTCCACTCTCTCTAAATATCAATGGAAAAAAAATCCTTGGTGAGGATTCTTTTTCTTTTTTTGCCAGTCTCTGTAACTTTTATTTTTATTTATTTTTCAATGTTTATTGTTGAAAGTATTACATAAATCATCCTTTTTTCCCGATAAACCTCTTCCAGCCTGCTTCCATCCTCCCCCAACCGCCCCAAAATAAATTTATCAATGATTAAATAAAATGTCCCAGGTTGCTATAAGCCAGACATGTGTATTTCTTTCTTGAATATCACCAAGGACCCCAAAAGGGCCACAGCACTAGAAATGGAAACCAGACACCAGTTACCCTGAGGAGAGGGCCCTCAGGACGCACCAATCTCTCCCACAGGCTGGTCAGCTGTGGCCTCACGAACAACTGCTGCCAGGATCTGGCCTCCATGCTGGGTGCCAGCCCCAGCCTGATACATTTGAACCTGGAACTCAACGACCTGGGCGACATCGGTGTGAGGCTGCTCTGTGAAGGGCTCAGGCAGCCTGCCTGCCAACTCCAGTACCTGTGGTAAGGCCCTGGGGTCATTTCTGGGCAGAGGACAGGGAAGGGGAGGGAGAGCAATGGAAGGGGGTGTGGGGGCCCTGGATTGGACAGGGGAGGAAAGGGGCAGAAAAATACATGGGCAGCCTGACTTCCCTACTGGATCCGCCACTGACTTAGGCCATGAGAAAGGCAGGTCTTCATCTGAGACTCGGTTTCTTCATCTGTATAACAGGACTATCATACCCACCTCATAGATGTGATGAAATCAAATGCATGTAAAACTAGAGCAGTGCCAGGAACAGAGTTGAGAGGATCAAATGAGAACCACTGGTGAGGCCACATGTTCGGAGGATTCCTGCCCTGGTTTACCTCTCCATCCCAGGCAGGCCTTCCATCCTTCCTTCCTTCCTTCTTTCCTTTTTTCTGTCCTTGCTTCCTTCCTTTCTTCCTTCTGTCCTTCTTTCCTTCCTTCCTTGGGTCCTTCCTTCCTTTCTTCCTTCCTTCCTTCCTTCCTTCCTTCTGCCCTTTCTTTCTTTCTTCCTTTCTTCCTTCCTTCTGTCCTGCTTTTCTTCCTTCCTTCCCTCCTTCCTTCCTTCCTTCCTTTCTTCCTTCATAGTTTCATTCATTCATTCACTCATTCATCCTTTCATTCATTCCATGACTCCTATTGCCAAGCACTGGGCCAGGCACTGAGGGGACAATAGCAAGCAACAGACATGGGTCCTGCCCCTCTTAAGCTTGCACTCCAGTGAGAATGAGACTGATGTTGATGACATGTTAACACACAGTGTGTATCTCTGAGCTTCGTGCAGTTTGTGAAGGGAAAGTGCACTGTGTTATGAGAGTGTAACAGGGGATGATGGAATTAGACTCAGGCGCAGGGAGGGCCTCTCTGGGGTAGTGACATCAGGCCGAGACTTGAAGCAGAAAGAGGGGTTGACCAGGCCCAGTCAGGGGGAGCAGTCCAGGCTGAGAATGGCATGAGGGAGACCCCAGGACAGAAACAGACTCAGAGCACTGGAGAGCTGTGTGGCTGGGGTGCAGTGACCGCAAGTCCTCATTTCCCACGCTGTCACCCAGCCATTTCCTGTCACCCCCCGAGCCTGAAAACAAGTCCACAGCCAGTTTCTGACTGAACATTTCCCTGCCGCCCTGGCTGGGCCCTGTCTCACACACACAGAGCTGACAGGGCTCCAAACCTCTGAGTCCTGACCCCTCAGTCTTGGCTGAGGCTCCAGCCGGCTCTCAGCCTTTCCTCTGAGAGTCCTCCTTTCTCAAACCTAAAGCAGCAGGAAGTGAACACTACATGTGGGTCCTCCCAGAGTCCACTCTGACCCTTCACAACCAAAGGTACCCCATCCTCTGGGGCTGGCATCTTCCCACCACAGTCCCCTCCCCTCTGAGCATGTGTGGCTATACCATCTCCTATATGTCACCACCTCTCCAGAGCTGGGCCTTTGCAGTAGGTCTGCATCCATGCCCCACTCATCCCTTTACTCCTCACCTCTTGGTTGCCTCAGAGCAGCTCTAGGACGTCCTGCAAAGGTTTCTGCCTCCCTTCCTTGGGCTCTGGGACTGGGATGAGAGGGACAACCTCTGCATCATGGGTCATCCTCTCCCCAGGGGAGAACAACTCTGACAGCAGGAATGAGGAAGGTGTGCGCCCTGACAGGTGCAGGGTCTTCACACCTGCCTGTCCATGGCTCATAATAAGCTGAGCAGGGCCCTCCCTGTTGGAGGTGAGGACATGGAGGCCCACAGAGGACAGCAGCCATCCCAAATCCAACAGAAACCTCAGAGTACAGGGCGTGTGAGAATGGAAACAGGCTCTTTCTTTCCAGAAAGCCTCCTAGCTCCCAGGAAGGAAATCCCAGGACCTACTTCTATATGGTGAGTTTGAGGCCATGGACACTGGCTGTTCTCTGATGGATGCTGTGAAGTGCTGTCCAGTCTGCTTTCATGAAAGAAGACCCAACCCCCATCCCTGAGAGTGCTGCCAGCTACGAGGATGGCCTCTGCTAACTGGGGCCATCTCACACAAGGTCACCTCCCCTCCCTGGGGTGGCCTGCATCCAGTGACTGGGGTAGTGGTATAAGGACCCTCCTCCCAGTATGGAACAGCCCTGGAGGGTCATCCCCACAACAGAATTCCCACAGAATCAGCTGTGTCCCTGGGGACTGCATCACACCCCAACTTGTCCCTCTACCCACTCCTGTTTCCTCCCTTTTCCCTGGTATTGACCCAAGAACACTCCCTAATAAATCTTCTAACTCTTCTTTCCACCATGGAAGGTTTTTTCAGGGAACCCAATGTATAGCAGATTCCTGCAGGACCTGGAAGGTTCCATGATTCTGGGCCCTGAGGCCCTTGAGATTGTGCTGGTGTCCCAGGATAACAAGGCTTCCTTTGTACTTGTAGGCTGGACCAAACTCGGCTGAGTGAGGAGGTGAAAGAGATGCTGAGGCTCCTGCAGAAGGAGAAGCCTCAGCTGCTCATCATCAGCAGTTGGTAAGGGGAAGAAACAGAATTCCCTAGAGCTGACCCAGTCCCAGGGCTGACTCCTAGAGGCTGTTCCAGGAACATGGGCCAGAAGTAGGGTGGGGTGGGGTTGGAGGTAGAGACAAACAGAACCAGGAAGAAGCCAGGAAACAACAGCAGCCAGAGTGAGGTTGTCTGTTTGTTTGTTTGTTTGTTTTGTTTGTTTAGTTCAAACAAGATTATGCCCCTTCTCTGTTTAAACCCTCCCATGAGATAATATGGAGGCGAAAAGTTGAAGAAAAGTGTATGAGTGAGTGGGTGAGATTTGGAACATGAAAAGCAAAGACCATCAGGGGAAGATAAGGACAAGCAGAGAGAGCTTTGGAGGGAACAGACCACCCTCATTCAATCTCCACACATATAGACACCCATGCACACAGCCAGGCTGAGGGGAATCCTGGAAACAAGAGAATACGATTTCCTGCTGGGAATTTGCTGCAGCCCCATGGGCCTTCGTTTTGGTATATTTTGGTCTGTGACTGCAAAGTACATCTATGCCCGGGTTCCCATTCCTCTGCCTCACATAGTCTGGCAGAAGCCATTAGGAGGCCTTAGGAAGAGCCATTCCTCAGGGAACAAGCATTCCCCTCAGACCCACAGTTTATTGGGCACAGGACCATGGACAGGAGCCCAATACCTAGGATTTAACTCAGCAGGGACACAGGCCCAGGTGACCTAAGGCATGAATCATTGTGCCTGGGATTAGTGTGAATGCTCTGATGGCCTATTTGAGTCCGTCCAAGGACCTGAGCTAAGTTATGGAAGGTGAAAGATCTTAGCTGGGCCGAGAGTGGGTAGATTCCTGGCAGAGGTAGAGGCTCTGATCTCAGCTCCTTTGAGGAATGGACGGAGGCCAGGGACCAGAAACACTGCTACTCAAGTGTGGAACATGGACCAGCAGTGTCAGCATCAGCATCACCTGAGAGCTCATTAAAAATGCAACTCTCAAGCCTCACTCCATACCTGCTGAATCAGAATCTGTGTTTTGACAAGGCCTCTGAGAAGCACTGGATCAGAAGTGAGTGAGCAGGGAGAGCAGCAGAGGTGGGATTGGAGCTGAGGGGTGCAGGACGTTGGGAGGACAAAGAGGCCTTTGGGCCATGTTAATAACTTCTGCCTCTACCTCAAAAGCAATAAAGGAAGATTTCAGGGCTTCAGTAGCTACGTGATGAGTCAGGTTCAAACGGAAGATCAGCTGCTGTATAGAAATGGCCTAGAGAGGGACAAGAGAAGAAGAGGGCACCTTTAAGGGGAGGATGCAGTGGTTCAAGCCACAGATGCCAGGCCTTGGCTGGAGATGGAGGCTGTGGGGTGGAGAGAAGGGAGAAGAAAAAAGAACTACACAAGAGCCAGGGACAAGGTGGCCAATCCACTCTCACAGGGAGCCAGAGGAGGCAGGACTACATCCCAGTTCCTGCATGGATGGAGGGGTGCATGGGGGCCATCACGAAGACAGGGTCTATGAGAGAACATCAGGTGAAGACCATGAGTTCAAATTAAGATGGGTTGAAATTAAGTGGGAATGTCACATAGACAGCCCCAACTTGCTCCAAGATCTCAGGGAGAATGAACAACTCTGTGTCTAGGAAGCCAAGTGCAACGATCACTAAGATGGACCCAGGTGGAGGACAGACGAGGGATGGCACAGCTCCACCCCAACGGCAGAGATCAGAATCAGGTACTTAGAAGGGGCCAGACTGGGAGCATCATTAACTGGGACAGGGGTGAGGGGGATATGGAAGGCCATCCCCTCAATGCTCCTGCCTCTGGGGTGAGCCATGGCAAAATTCACAACCAGAAGCCTCGCTCCATGCAAGACCTTCCACACCTAGAGCCTGGCAAGATCTCTGGTTCCCTCCCTCCCAGGCTCAGGGGCTGAGGCTGCTCCTCTCCAGGTCATGTCTGGCATGTCTCAGGCTCTGATCCACACTGGGCTTCTGAGGCCTGGGAATCTCTTTCCATCATTGTCCATCCACCTTTAGAGCCATGTTCTCATAGGCTACCTTTCAGGTGGATGCGGGAATAAAATTGTCTTCTGACCAGTGGGTAGGGGTGGCATCAGGGGACAGCAGGGTTGGGCCTCCTCAGATAGCAGGTAGTCAGCCCCAGGAGCATGGACAGAGGCTGCTAACACACACCTTCTGAAGTCCATGCAGACCAGCCTTGAGAAGGACCCCTCCATGTTCTAGCTTATGGGGTAGGAGACACCAGACAGAAGACCCTAAAGCTGACCACTGCCCTGTCTGTTCCAGATGAGAACGCCCATCAAGTATTACAGGAACCCTACCCTGTGTCATCTGGTGAACCTCTAAGGCACCAACAATTGAGCTTTATAATAATAGATGACTCCTCGGACCTCCCAGAGCCTGTGGCTACAGAGATGGTTGACGAACACAGGAGTCTGTCCTGGTGAGTGACAGGAATCTGGTGTGCCAGGCTGGCATCCTCCCCACCCCCGCCATCCTCACACTGAATCCTAGGAAACACTCAGCACCCCACTCATGATCCATTGGGTACCCCCTCATTGTTGAGCCACCAGGCAGAGGGACAGGGTTATATTAGTACTTTTATTATGGAAACAGAAGTTTTATTATGAAAAGTTGCAAACATACAAAGAAAAATGTTCAAGGGACTACCACTTATGCATTACCCAGCTTTAACAACCATTTTCCCAAATTTGTTTCAACTATTCACTTTCCCCTTCTTTTGTTGTCATGCTATTTTAAATACAAGATAGCCAGTGATCTTATCCGTGTATATTTTGTGATGCATTTTGAAGAATATAAATAAAGACCTTTTCTCCCATAACTGCAATGCCACTCTCATATCTAACAACTTTTACAATAAGTCATTTTCATATCATCTAATACCCATTCTGCATTCAATATGCTCAATTATCCAAAATGTGTCCTTGCAGTAGGTAGGTTCTAATCAGGATCCAAACAAAGTCCACTCGCTGTATTTGGGTTGGTATGTCTCATAAATCTCACTTAAATCTCTTTCCACCTATATTTTTCTGTCTTGTTTACATCCGCTGTGTGCACAGTACCATACCAGCAACAACCAGCCATGAGTCGTGCCTCCCAAGGGTTCCACTCATAAGTAACCAATGTCTATAATCTTAGTCCTGATCCCTTACAAACATATTACCATTCCCTGTCACAGACATGATCTCAGCTGGGTGATAATATTGCTCCCAACTTACACACACAGAAGCTGACATCCCAGGAAGCCGCTCTATACCAACCGGGAACCTGGGGAAAGTCTGTAATAACTCTGTAAGTGTTATTTTAAGCTCAAGTGGTTATCATTAACATCACCATATAGATTGTGTTAATTGTTGAAAAGTAGGACCTTAAAAATAATAACTTTCCTATTTTATTGTTCTTAATACTATTATCATTTTCATCATCATCATCATCATCATCATCATCATCATCATTCTAGAAACAGTTAACCACCTGCGGTCATATATTAAGCCGTCAGCATACATTAGGTCCCTTATTACTCACAACTCTGTGTGATGGTCTATTATTACCTTTACTTACAAATAAGAAAACTGAGATTAGGGAATTTCAATGACTAGCTCAGGGATCCACAGTAGAGAGCAGAGGGGCTACAACTGAAATCCAAATCCCTCTGTGACATGTTTGAGCTTGCAGCCACTCTACCAGCTATGCAGGGCACGGCTTGGGGTCAGAGATTCAGTACATACTCAGGGGGCTTGTGTAGAGTAATTCATTCAATGTCTACTTCTCTCTGTAATCCCCAGAGCTCACTTCCCCATGGGTGGCTCCTACCCCTGGAACAAATCCAACAGGAACCCCAGAACACAGGGTTTGTGAGAGTGGCTCTTTCTTTCCAGGACACCTCCTAGCCTCTAGGAAGGCAATCCCAGGACCTACTCCTATGTGGTCAGTTTGAGGCCATGGGGCCTGGCTGTTCTCTGGTGGATGCTGGGAAGTGCTGCCCAGGTCCCTTTCAGGAAAGAAGATGTAACCCCAGGTCCTGGGAGTGCTGCTGGCTACAGAGATGGCCTCTGCCAACTCACACAAGGTCACCTCCTCTCCCTGGGGTGGCCGGCATCCAGTGACTGACTGGTGTAGTGCTATAAAGCACCTCCTCCCAGTATGGAACAGCCTGGAGGGTCATCCCCACATCAGAAGTCCCACAGAGTCAGCTGTGTCCCTTGCGATTGTGTCATTGCCCAGCTTGTCCCTCTGCCCATTCCTGCTTCCTCCCTTTGTTTGCCCTGCTTGACCCAAGAACATTTCTGAATAAACTTCCTCACTCTATTCTCCATCTCAGAACCAGATTTCAGGGAACCCAACCTAATGTAGTTCCTACAGGACCTTGAGATCGTGTGGGGGGCACAGGTAACCAGGCTTCCTTTGTGTTTGCAGGCTGCCCACGCCTCCGAGTAGTAGGGAGAGTAGTAGGAAGATGACAGAGACACAGGACACCCGAACGGATAAGAAAAGTCAGCTGATCACCAGCAATCGGTAAAGGGGGAGACGCAGACTTTGCTCAAGCTGACCCAGGCCCAGGGCTGACTTCTAGAGGCTGGTGCAGAGACATGGGCCTGAAGTGGGGTGGGGTGGGGTGAGGTTGGAGGCAGAGACAGATAGAACAGGGAGAAGCCAAGAAAACACAGCAGCCAGAGGGAGATTGTTTGTTTGCTTGGTGCAAACAAAATGATGTCGCTCCTCTGTTTAAAGCCTTCCACTAGATAATAAGGAGATGAATAAATGAAAAAAAGTGAATGGGTGATATTTAGAACATGGAAAGCACGGACAGGAGGAGGAGACAAGGACAAGGAGAGAGAGCTTTCAGGACGAAGCCCACCCGCACTTACCCTCCACACATATAAACACCCTTGTACACAGCCCAGCTGAGGGGAAGCCTTGGGAAGAGAAGAATGCATCTTCCTCTGGGGCATTTGGTATATTTCGACTTGTGACAGCAAAGTGCACTTATGCCCTGGTTCTGACTGCTCTGCCTCACCTGGCATGGCAGGGAACGGCTCCTAGGCTTAGGAGGAGCCATTCCTCAGGGAACTAGCAATACCTCAGACCCACAGTGTGTTGGGCACAGGACCATGGACACGGGCCAACACCTAGGAATTAACTCAGCAGGGACACAGGCCAGGTGACCCAAGGCATGAATCATTGTGCCTGAAATCAGCGTGAATGCTCTGATGGCCTATTTGAGTCCGTTCAAGGACCTGAGCTGTGTTATGAAAGGTGAAAGATCTTAGCTGGGCCGAGAGTGGGTAGATTCCTGGCAGATGTAGAGGCTCTGATCTCAGCTCCTTTGAAAAATGGAAGGAGGCCAGGTACCAGAAACACTGCTACTCAAAGTGTGGACCATGGACCAGCAGTGTCAGCATCAGCATCACCTGAGAGCTCATTAAAAATGCAAATCTCAAGCCTCACTCCAGACCTGCTGAATCAGAATCTGTGTTTTGACAAAGCCTCTGAGCAGCATTGGATCAGAAGTGAGTGAGCAGGGAGAGCAGCAGAGGTGGGATTGGAGCTGAGGGGTGCAGGACGTTGGGAGGACAAAGAGGCCTTTGGGCCATGTTAATAACTTCCTCTTCTACCTCAAAAGCAATAAAGGAAGATGTCAGGACTTCAGTAGCTATGTGATGAGTCAGGTTCAAACGGAAGATCAGCTGCTGTATAGAAATGGCCTAGAGAGGGACAAGAGAAGAAGAGGACACCTTTAAGGGGAGGATGCAGTGGTTCAAGCCACAGATGCCAGGCCTTGGCTGGAGGTGGAGTCTGTGGAGGTGGAGAGAAGAGACAAGAAAGAAGAGCTACACTAGAGCCAGTGACAAGGTGGCCAATCAACTCTCACAGGGAGCCAGAAGGAGCCAGGACTACATCCCAGTCCTGCATGGATGGAGGGGTGGATGGGGGCCATCAATACGACAGTGTCTATGAGAGGAAGTCAGATGAAGGCCATGAGTTCAAATTCAGATGGGTTGAAATTAAGTGGGGATGTCACATAGACAGCCCCAACTTCGTCCAAGATCTCAGGGAGAATGACCAACTCTGTGTCTAGGAAGCCAAGTGCAACGATCACTAAGATGGACCCAGGTGGAGGACAGACGAGGGATGGCACAGCTCCACCCCAACGGCAGAGATCAGAATCAGGTACTTAGAAGGGGCCAGACTGGGAGCATCATTAACTGGGACAGGGGTGAGGGGGATATGGAAGGCCATCCCCTCAATGCTCCTGCCTCTGGGGTGAGCCATGGCAAAATTCACAACCAGAGAAGCCTCACTCCATGCAAGATCTTCCACACCTAGAACCTGGCAAGATCTCTGGTTCCCTCCCTCCCAGGCTCAGGGGCTGAGGCTGCTCCTCTCCAGGTCATGTCTGGCATGTCTCAGGCTCTGATCCACACTGGGCTTCTGAGGCCTGGGAATCTCTTTCCATCATTGTCCATCCACCTTTAGAGCCATGTTCTCATAGGCTACCTTTCAGGTGGATGCGGGAATAAAATTGTCTTCTGACCAGTGGGTAGGGGTGGCATCAGGGGACAGCAGGGTTGGGCCTCCTCAGATAGCAGGTAGTCAGCCCCAGGAGCATGGACAGAGGCTGCTAACACACACCTTCTGAAGTCCATGCAGACCAGCCTTGAGAAGGACCCCTCCATGTTCTAGCTTATGGGGTAGGAGACACCAGACAGAAGACCCTAAAGCTGACCACTGCCCTGTCTGTTCCAGATGAGAACGCCCATCAAGTATTACAGGAACCCTACCCTGTGTCATCTGGTGAACCTCTAAGGCACCAACAATTGAGCTTTATAATAATAGATGACTCCTCGGACCTCCCAGAGCCTGTGGCTACAGAGATGGTTGACGAACACAGGAGTCTGTCCTGGTGAGTGACAGGAATCTGGTGTGCCAGGCTGGCATCCTCCCCACCCCCGCCATCCTCACACTGAATCCTAGGAAACACTCAGCAACCCACTCAGGATCCATTGGGTTCCTTTTCATTGTTGAGCCACCAGGCAGAGAGACAGGGCTGTATTAGTACTTTTATTATGGAAACAGAAGTTTTTTTGGTTGTTTTTTTTTTGATTAATTAAATCTTTATTGTTCAGATTTTTACAGTTGTTCCTCTTTTTTCCCCCATAACTTCCCTCCACCCAGTTCCCACCCCACCCTCCCCCCTTACTCCCCACCCACTGTCCTCATTCATAGGTGCAAGATTGTTGTCCAGTCTCTTCCCGCATCCCCCTCACCCCTTTCCCCCCCAAGAATAGTCAGTCCACTTTCTTTCTATGCCCCTGATTCTATTATAATCACCAGTTCATTCTGTTCATCAGATTATTTATTCACTTGATTTTTAGATTCACTTGTTGATAGATGTGTATTTGTTGTTCATAATTTGTATCTTTACCTTTTTCTTCTTCCTCCTCTTCTTAAAGGATACTTTTCAGCATTTCATATAATACTGGTTTGGTGGTGATGAACTCCTTTAGCTTTTTCTTATCTGTGAAGCTCTTTATCTGACCTTCAATTCTGAATGATAGCTTTGCTGGATAAAGAAATCTTGGTTGTAGGATCTTGGCATTCATCACTTTGAATATTTCTTGCCACTCTCTTCTGGCCTGCAAAGTTTCTGTTGAGAAATCAGCTGACAGTCGTATGGGTGCTCCCTTGTAGGTAACTGACTTTCTTTCTCTTGCTGCTTTTAAGATTCTCTCTTTGTCTTTTTCTCTTGGCATTTTAATTATGATGTGTCTTGGTGTGGTCCTCTTTGGATACCTTTTGTTTGGGATTCTCTGCGCTTCCTGGACTTTCACCAGGTAGGGGAAGTTTTCTGTCATTATTTCTTCAAATAGGTTTTCGATATCTTGCTCTCTCTCTTCTTCTGGCACCCCTATAATTCGGATGTTGGTATGCTTGAAGCTGTCCCAGAGGCTCCTTACACTATCTTGGTATTTTTGGATTCTTTTTTCATTTTGCTTATCCGGTTGGGTGTTTTTTGCTTCTTCGTATTTCAAATCCTTGACTTGATTCTTGCGCTCCTCTGGTCTGCTGTTGGAACTCTGTATAATGTTCTTTATTTCAGTCAGTGCATGCTTAATTTCTAGTTGGTCCTTTATCACAACCTCGAGGGTCTCATTAGATTTCTTGTAGGTCTCATTAAGTTTATTGGCAGTTTCTAGAAAATTCTTGAAAAACCTTAAAGGTGTGGTTTTGAACTCTATATCCAGTCATTTGCTTTCCTCCATTTCTGTCATCTGTGTCCTTTTTCTTTGTCTCTGCATTTTTTATGCTTCCCTGTGTTGATAAAGTGGTTTTCTGTGCTAAGTGTCCTCTAGGGCCCAGTGGTTCAGCCTTCCCAATTACCTGACGAGGACATTCTTGGTGCACCCCCTTGTGGTCTTTGTGCACAGTCTTGGTGTAGTTAAGCCTTGATTGTTGTAGTTATCACTGGGAGGAATTGACCTCCAGGCCAATTGGCTATGAGAATCAGCTGTGTCTGCAGTGGGAGAACTTCTGTGCCGGAGACACCCCTCTGGAGCAAGACTTGCTTCAATGGGGCTGTGGTGCTCCCTGAGTCTGCCCCCTGAGTGTGTCCTTTATCGTTCCATGGAGCTGCAAACTGGATGGTCCCACTCTGACCTCTGGGTGGCTCCTGGCTCCTGGATCTCTAGGGAGGTGCTAATCTAGCCTCTGCCTTAGGCTATCCAGCAAAAGCCTCCCTGAAGGGCTTGGGCGGGGCGGGGCGGGTCCCATGGGATCAACAGGGCGGGGCTAGCAGTTATGGCTGCTCTCAGAGGCTCTGCTTCTCAGTGTCTGGGCAATCACTGCATGCCCCTTGGAGAGAAAGCTGCCCTCGAGTTCTGAGCGATGCCAGACAGTCCCGCTTCTCCTGTTTGAGTCTGGGTCCCCAGAGACTCACCCGGAACTGGAGCTCAGAGCCTGAGACTCCCTCCCGATTGAAAACGACAACCGCGCCCTCAGCCACCAGCCCTCTCTCATGCACTAATGCACCTTAGTATTTTACTTCTGCACTGCGCCTCCTCTGAGTCTCGGTATGCTTTTCTCTTTCCTTCTAGTTGTGGAATTTCCACTCAGCCAGCCTTCCTGTGGTTCTGGATGATGTCTGTTTCATCTTTTAGTTGTATTTTTGAAGTGGTTGTTCCAGGCAGCAAACTCCAGTGTTTACATAGGCCACCATCTTGGTTTCTCTGGAAACAGAAGTTTTATTATGAAAAATTGCAAACGACAAAGTAAAATGTTCAAGGGACTACCACTTACTCATTACCCAGCCTTAACAACAATTTTCCCAAATTTATTTCAAATATTCACTTTCCTCTTCTTTTGTTATTATGCTATTTTAAATACAAGATATCAGGTGATTTTATCCATATATGTTTTGTGATGAATTTTGAAGAACACAAAATAAACACAATACTATTGTCATAACCACAATGCCACTCTCATATCTAACAACATTTATAATAAGTCATTTTCATATCATCTGATACCCCATCTGTATTCAATATGCTCAATTGTCCAAATTATGTCCTTTCAGTGAGTTTTTTCTAATCAGGATTCAAACCAAGTCCATTCATTTTATTTGGTTTGTTATGTATGATAAATCTCTTTTAAGTGTCTTTTCATCTACACATTCCTGCTTTATTGACATTCGCTATGTGCAAAGTACCATACCAGCAACAAGGGGCCATGAGATGAATATGGAGCCATGCCTTCCAAGGGTTCCCAGTCTTAAGTAATAAATATCTATAATTTTAGTTCTGATCTCTTACATAGCACATTCCCATTCATTGTCACAGACATGATCTCAGCTGGGCGATAATATTCCTCACAACTTACACACAGAACATGACATCCTAGAAGCCAGCTCTATACCAACAGGGAACATGGCGAAAGTCTCTGTAAGTTTTATTTTAAGTTCAAGTGGTTATCATTAATATCACCATTTAGATTGTTATTAATTACTGAAAATTAGGCCCTTTAAAAACAATAACACTTGCCTGTTTCATTATTATTAATATTATTACTATCATTATTATTCTCATCATTATCACCATTATAGAAACAGCTAACCACACCCATGCAAGTATTAAGCCATCAGTATACATTAGGTCATTTATTACTTACAACTCTAAGAGATGGTGTTGTTATTACTTTTACTTAAAAATAAGAAAACTGTGATTATGGAGGTTCAATGACTTGCTCAGGGATCCACAGTAGGGAGAGAGGGACACAAGACACTGGGGGGTGGTGGGGTGGTGAGGGCATGTGCCAGGGGGTAGGGGAGGTGGGGGAAGGTCAATGAGGAAAAAAAAGAGAGACATATGTACTACTATCTGTAATACTTTAAATAATAAAATAAATTTTTTTTGCATTTTTTTATTATTTTTTAAAAAAATATTATAATAAGTATTACAAACGGTATTACATATGTGTCCTCCCCCCCCACCCTTGACAATCCCCTGCCCTCCCTTACCCCCCAGTGTCTTATGTCCATTAGTTATGCTTATATGCCTGCATACAAGTCCTTCGGTTGATCTCTTACTCCCCTCCCTTCTGCCCCCCAACCCTCTCTGGCCTTCCCACTGCAGTTTGACAATCAGTTTGAGGCAGCTCTGCCTCTGTATCTATTATTGTTCAAAAGTTTGTAATGGTCTTTATTATCCATGAATGAGTGAGATCATGTGGTATTTTTCCTCATTGACTGGCTTATTTCACTTAGCATAATACTCTCCAGTTCCATCCATGCTGTTGCAAATGGTAAGAGTTCCTTCTTTTTTACAGCAGCATAGTATTCCATCGTGTAGATGTACCACAGTTTTCTAATCCATTCATCTACTGATGGGCACTTAGGCTGTTTCCAGATCTTAGCTATGGTGAATTGTGCTGCTACGAACATATGGGTGCACATATCCTTTCTGATTGGTGTTTCTGGTTTCTTGGGATATATTCCTAGAAGTGGGATCACAGGGTCAAATGAGAGTTCCATTTCCAGCTTTTTGAGGAAACTCCATACTGTCTTCCATAGTGGTTGCACCAGTCTGCATTCCCACCAGCAGTGCGCAAGTGTTCCTTTTTCTCCACATCCTCTCCAGCACTTGTCGTTTGTTGATTTGTTGATGATAGCCATTCTGACAGGTGTGAGATGGTACCTCATTGTTGTTTTGATTTGCATCTCTCGGATGATTAGTGACTTTGAGCATGTTTTCATATGTCTCTTGGCTTTCTGGATGTCCTCTTTTGAAAGGTGTCTATTTAGATCCTTTGCCCATTTTTTGATTGGATTGTTTATCTTCTTTTTGTTAAGTTGTATGAGTTCCCTATAAATTTTGGAGATTAGGCCCTTATCAGATATGACGTTGGCAAATATGTTTTCCCACGCAGTGGGTTTTCTTGTTTTGTTGATGGTTTCTTTTGCTGTGCAGAAGCTTTTTATTTTGATGTAGTCCCATTTGTTCAGTTTCTCTTTAGTTTCAACTGCCCTAGGAGCTGTATCAGTGAAGAAATTGTTTTGGCATATGTCTGAGATTTTGTTGCCTTTGTATTCTTCTAGAATTTTTATGGTTTCCTGTGGTACATTTAAGTCCTTTATCCATTTTGAGTTTATTCTTGTGTATGGTGTAAGTTGGTGGTCTAGTTTCATTTTCTTGCATATATCTGTCCAATTTTCCCAACACCATTTATTGAAGAGACTATCTTGGCTCCATTGTATGTTCATGACTCCTTTGTCAAAAATTAATTGAGCATATTGGTTCGGGCTAATTTCTGGACTCTCTATTCTATTCCACTGATCTATATGTTTGTTCTTGTGCCAGTACCAGGCAGTTTTGAGAACAGTGGCTTTGTAATACAGCTTGATATCTGGCATTGAGATCCCACCTACTTTGTTCTTTCTCAGGATTGCTGTAGCTATTCGGGGTCTTTTTTTATTCCAGATGAATTTTTGGAGAGTTCGTTCTAGATCTTTGAAGTAGGCCATTGGTGTTTTAATGGGAAGTGCATTGAATTTATAGATTGCTTTGGGTAGTATGGACATTTTAATGATGTTGATTCTACCAATCCAAGAACATGGTATGTTCTTCCATCTCTTTATGTCTTCCTCTATCTCTTTTTTCAACGTCCTGTAGTTTTCTGAGTAGAGGTCTTTTACCTCTTTAGTTAAGTTTATTCCTAGGTATATTAATTTTTTTGGTGCAATGGTAAATGGGATTGTTTTTATAATCTCTCTTTCTGCAAGTTCACTATTGGTGTATAGAAAGGCCATAGATTTCTTGGGGTTAATTTTGTATCCTGCTACATTGCCAAATTCATGTATTAAGTCTAGTAGTTTTTTGATGGAGTCTCTAGGGTTTTGTATGTATAATATCATGTCGTCTGCAAATAAGGACAGTTTTACTTCCTCTTTTCCAATTTGGATGCCTTTTATTTCTTCTTCTTGTCTAATTGCAATGGCCAATACTTCCAGGACTATGTTGAACAGGAGTGGTGAGAGTGGGCATCCCTGTCTTGTTCCTGTTCTTAGGGGAAATGGTGTTAGTTTTTGTCCATTGAGTATGATGTTGGCTGTGGGCCTGTCATATATGGCTTTTATTATGTTGAGGTATGATCCTTCTATTCCCACCTTGCTGAGAGTTTTTATCAAAAATGGGTGTTGGATTTTGTCGAATGCTTTTTCTGCATCAATTGATATGACTGTGGGTTTTTTTTTCTTTCAATTTGTTTATGTGATGTATTACGTTTATTGATTTACGGAAGTTGTACCATCCTTGCATCCCTGGGATAAATCCTACTTGGTCATGGTGTATGATCCTTCTGATGTACTGCTGGATCCGATTTGCTAAGATTTTGTTGAGGATTTTGGCATCTATGTTCATGAGGGATATCGGCCTGTAATTCTCTTTCATTGTGTTGTCTTTACCTGGTTTTGGTATTAGGGTGATGCTGGCTTCATAGAATGAGCTTGGAAGTGTTCCTTCCTCTTGAATTTTTTGTAGTAGTCTGAGGAGGATAGGTTTTAGTTCTTCCTTGAAAGTTTGGTAAAACTCCCCTGAGAAGCCATCTGGTCCTGGGCTTTTGTTTTTTAAAAAAAGAATCAAACCCAAAGCCCTCTGGCTGTGACATCTGAGCTTGCAGCCACTCTACTAGATACACAGTGCACTGCATGGGGTCGGGCATCCAGTAGGTAGTCAGTGAGCTTGTGTGGAGTAATTAATTCAATGTCTTCCTCTCTCCGCTATCCCCAGAGTTCACTTCCCTGTGGCTGGTTCCTACCACTGTCCCAACATGGGTCTCTACTTTGTGGTGAGAGGGCCAGTGACCATTGAGATTGAATTCTGTGCTTGGGACCAGTTCCTGGACCAGATTGTCCCACAGCACAGCTGGATGGTTGCAGGGCCTCTGTTTGACATCAAGGCTGAACCAGGAGCTGTGGCAGCTGTGTACCTCCCTCACTTTATAGCCTTCCAAGGTGAGTGAGAGGGAGGTGTGGGGGAAGGTCATGGTGGTGAGAATGGGCTTGAAATGGCTTCCGATGGCAATATCCTGAGGGAAGGTCTTGGGGCTTCCTTAGACTGACTAAGGGGTTCGGGCGTTAAAGAAGTGGAGAGAGCTTTCTTTCTCATTCGACAGTGCTCGGGGCATATCTGTTTTGAAACATTTGTGTTCCCAAGCATCATAATCATTTTTGCCTGAATTACTTGAAGATTCCCCTCAATAGAAAGTGGTCTCCTCAATAACAATAATAGCCATCATTTATTAAGTTCTCTTCACATAGATTATATTACTCAGGGTCTCAGCAGGAAACATATGATGTACTCATTTGAGATTTTCTAGAAGACTTTTCAAAGACTAGTCTATTTGCAAGTAAGGCAACGTGAACAAAAGAGAAAGGTTGAGGTACCTGGAGAATAGCAACAAATAGGAAGCCATTGCTACTCTTAGAGGCAGGGAGAAGAAACAGTGTCACCAGACTCCATATGAGAACTCAAGCCACAAAAGTAGGGCATCTCAGAAGGAGATTTACTCATAAAGGGTAGTGTTATTATCCCAACACCTCCCAAGACTGCCAACAGATAAAATTCTAAAAATATAAGCTTACAAGCAAAACCTTAGAAACAGGGAACAGGCATCATAAGTGAGAACCAACAAAAATGTCAGGTTATATCAGGCTATAAAGAAGTCAGACATTTAAATTATCAGAAAAAATTAAGTATGTTTTTATGCTTAAAGAAATCATTTTTAAAATATGAACAAGAAGCAATAAACCATTATAATGATGAATCAAGTTTGAAACAAGGCTACATTGACAGAAAATATAATAAAGCATAATTAAGAAAAGAATAAGTGACATGGAAAGATACTATGAGAAGGCCTAACATACATCTCATCAAAATTCCAGGAGAATATTATAGAGAGAATGGAGAGGATGTTATATTCAAAGAATTACCAAGAAATTTCTAGAATTGCTGAAAGAATTTCTTTCTAGGAAGGAAAAAATCCAAAGCAGGAGAGAGGGACAGAGAGAAATCAGCAATCAACCCAGTCAAGTGCATTGCCAGAATACAGACATCTAAGGTTAGTTTTTAACAGCACCCAGAAAGATTAGCCATAAAGGTGCTACAATTAGGATGACAACTGATTTTCAACAGTAGCAATGAAAGACAGAAGACAATAGACTGATATCCTCACAGTAATGAGGAAATAATTGCCAATCAAGAATTGGGTGTTAGATTTTGTCAAATGCTTTCTCTGCATATATTGATATAATCATGTGATTTTTGTCTTTCAATTTGTTTATATGATGTATCATGTTTATTGATTTGTGAATATTGTACCAGTCTTGCATCCCTGGAATAAATCCCACTTGATCATGGTGTTTGATCTTTTCACTTTATTGCTGGATGCAATTTGCTAGAATTTTGGGGGGGATTTTTAGCATCTATATTCATCGGGGATATTGGCCTGAAATTCTCTTTCTTTGTAGTGTCTTTTTCGAGTTTTGGAATTAGGATAATGCAGGCCTCATAAAAAGCGTTTGGAAGTGTTCCTTCCTCTTAGATTTTCTGAAATAGTCTAAGGAGTATAGGTCTTAGTTCTTCTTTCAATGTTTGGTAAATCTCCCCTGTGAAGCCATCTGGACCTTGGCTTTTGTTTGGTGGGAGTTTTTTTATTACTGCTTCTATTTCATCAGTTGTTATTGGCCTATTCAGGTTTTCTGATTCCTCCTGATTCAGTTTGGGAGATTATATTTTTCTAGGAATTTTTCTATTTCATCCACATTGTCCAGCTTGTTGGCATATAGTTGTTCATAGTATTTTCTTACAATTCTTTGTATTTCTGTGGTGTCAGTGGTTACTTCTCCCCTTTGTTTCTAATTTTATTTATTTGGGTCCTCTCTCTTTGTTTCTTGATGAGTCTGGCTAACAGTTTATCAATTTTGTTTATCCTTTCAAAGAACCAGCACTTGGTTTCATTGATTTTTGTATTGTTTTTGTAGTCTCTATGTTATTTATTTCTGCTCTAATCTTTATTATTCTCTCCCTTCTACTTACTCTAGGTTTTTCTTGTTGTTTTCTTTCTACTTCTTTAAATTGTAGGGTTAAGTAGTTTATTGTTAGTTTTTCTTGTGTGTGTGTTGTTTTTTTTAGGTATGCCTGTAGTGCTATGAATTTCCCTCTCAGGACTGCTTTTACTGTGTCCCACATATTTTGGGTTGTTGTGTGTTCATTTTCATTTGTTTCCAGGAAGTTTTTTATTTCATCTTGATCTCGTTGGTAACCCATTCATTATTTAACCTCCATGTGTTTGAATGTTTTTGGGTGTTTTTACTGTAGTTGATTTCTAGTTTCATTCCACTGTGACCTGAGAAGATGCTTGATATAATTTCAATCTTCTTGAAATTGTTTTGTGTCCTAACATGTGGTCTATCTTTGTGAATGACCCATGTGCACTTGAGAAGAATGTATATTCTACTGTGTTGGGGTGATATGTTCTATCAATGTCAATTAAATCCATCTGATCCAGTGTGTCCTTTAGAGTCTCTGTTTCCTTGTTAAGATTTTGTTTGGAAGATCTATCCAGTGAAGTCAGAGGGGTGTTAAAGTCGCCAGCTATGACTGTTTGTTGTCAATCTCTCTGTTAAAGTCTTCTATAAGTTTTTTATATATTTAGGTGCTCCTATATTGGGTGCATATATGTCTACCATTGTTATATCCTCTTGTTGGATCGATCCCTATAGTACAGTGATGGCAAACCTTTTGAGCTCGGTATGTCAGCATTTTGAAAAACCCTAACTTAACTCTGGTGCCGTGTCACATATAGAAATTTTTTGATATTTGCAACCATAGTAAAACAAAGATTTTATTTTTGATATTTATTTTATATATTCAAATGCCATTTAACAAAGAAAAATCAACCAAAAAAATGAGTTCGCGTGTCACCTCTGACACACGTGTCATAGGTTCGCCATCACTGCTATAGTGTTATGTAGTGACTTTTGTTGTCTCCTGTGATGGTCTTCATTTTAAAATCTATTTTGTCGGAAATGAGTATTGTTACTCCAGCTTTTTTTTCTTTCCCATTTGCATGGAAAATGATCCCTTCACTCTCATGCTCTGTGTGTCTTTTGTTTTGAGGTAGCTCTCTTGTAGATAGCATATAGTTGAGTCATGTTTTTGTACCCATTCAGCTACCCTAAGCCTTTTGATAGGAACATTTAATCCATTTACATTTAGGGTTATCATTGGTAGGTATTTATTTATTGCCATTTTAATTCTGTATGGTTAGGTTTCTCTCTCTGTTTCTCCTCATTATAGCTATCCCTTTAGCATTTCTTATAATGCTGGCTTGGTGGTGATGTGCTCCTTTAGCCTTTTTTTTGTCTGAGAAGGTCTTTATTTGACCATCTATTTTGAATGATAGCCTTGCTGGATATAGTAATCTTGGTCTCAGATCCTTGCTTTCCATTGCTTTGAGTACTTCATGCCATCCCCTTCTGGCCTGTAGAGTTTCTGAAGAGAAATCAGGTGTCAGCCTTAAGGGAACTCCTTTGTAGGTAACAGTTTTCTTTTCTCTTGCTGCATTTAAGATTCTCTCTTTGTCTTTAATTTTGGCATTTTTATTATGATGTTTCTGGGCATGGGCCTGTTTTGGTTCTTCTTGTTTGGGCTACTCTGTGCCTCCTGAACTTGTGTAACTTTTTCCTTTACCAGGTTAGAGAAGTTTTCTACCATTATTTCTTCAAACACCTTCTCTATGCCTTTCTCTGTTACTGCCTCTTCTGGCACACCTGCTATACTAATATTGTTACATTTCATGTTGTCCCACAGCTCCCTTAAGCTTTTCTCCTGTTTTGTTTTTTTTAATTGTTTTTTTCTTTTTTGGTTCTCTGATTGAGTGATATTTTCAACTTTGTCTTCTAAATCACGAATTTGATCCTCAGCTTCCCCTAATCTGCTGTGTATTCCTTCCAATGTGTTCTTTATTTGTGTTATGCCATTCTTAATTTTAGGCTGTTCTTTTTTCATAGTTACTAATATCTTTTTTTCATGCTGTGGAGCATTTTTTTCATTATTACTCTGAACTTCGTTTCAGATAAATTTCTTATCTCTGCTTCATTTACTCCTTCTGAAGAATTCTCTAGTTTTTTCATTTGGGCGTTGTTTCTTTGTTTACTCATTTTGGCTGTCTGTTTGGGTTTGTGACTATGTATTAGCTAGATCCTTTACATCCCTCAATCTCTAGTGCAGGACAGTGTTAAAGGCTGTTTCTGTCTAATTAGATCAGGCAAAAACTCAAAACTTCCAGAGGCCAACTAATAGGATTCCAACTTTAATTGCCCATCAGGCAATTTTCCTCAGGTGTGGCAAGAGTGTTTTCAACAAGGTGGGGCAGTTGCTTCTGTCTGGAGGCTGATTGTTATTTTTAATGTCTTAAGTGGCCTCAGAGCAAGGTGTTTTCCAATAGGGTGTGTCAACTGTCTTCCCCTCAGGCAAGGCAAATGTCTATGTGGGAAAGATGACCTCTGCTGTGTGAGGGAATGAAACTTGGGGGTCTGCCTTCTGAGCTCTATCCCATGAGTCCCCATTCCTGGCTTCTGCTCTCATAGCTCCAGTCCTCTTCACCCTCCCTCTACCAGAGCACAAGGTGGGTGGCTCCACAGGGAATTTTGTGCATTGGACCTTTAATAGGGTGCCTGAATTTTCAGCAGTCACTTCCTGGCAGATAGCACCCTGCTGCTTTTCTCATGCAGATGTTATGTGGGTACTCTTCCCAGTTTTGGTGCACTCTTCTGGGGGGTTGGGGAGGAACTTGGAGATTAGATCCCAGAGTTCTCAGTGGCAACCCCCCACAGCTGAAATATATCTCCGGGTCTTCAGTGGCTGTCTGTGGACACCTGGCCAGCCCTTTCTCACCTCCGCCCCTTCTACTAGTCTCTATGCAGTCTCCACTTTCGGTCCTCAGGTATCAGGGTTCTCTCCTGCAAGTTTTCCGTTGATTATTCAGGAAGATTTTCTGTATTTTAGTTGTAATTCCAGCTTGTTCCTGTTAGCATGTCTGTGCAGCACCCACTTACTCTGCCGCCATTTTTAATCCTCTAAAATAGACATTTTAAAATAGACTAAAATCAAGATAGCTTTCCACAAACAAATCCTTACTGAAGGAAATTCTAAAGGATGTACTTCAAGCAAAATGATCACATATAAAAAGCATGAGATGCAAGATGAAATAATCAGCAAAGATACTGAGACACATCTGGGTAAGTCTAACAAACCAATGACTAGATAAAGCAATAATAATAATGCCTGATGTGTGGGGATTTTAAAAAGAGAGAGAACAAAGGGCCAACAACAATAGCAAGTTGAGTGTTAAAGAATCCAAAGGTCTCAGTGTAGTTCACAAGAGGGTGAAGGCTGTACTAGAACTGCGATCTGGGTTAAAATACTGAAATACTTCAGTACTGATTAGGAAAGATAAATTCTCCACTTTTTGAGACCACAGGTGACCTGACAACATAATCCAGTGTTGCCACAGAGACAAGTAATGAGGCCTGCGCATGTGCAGGAATAGATGGGGTGGTTGAGGCAGCATCTTTCCACATCACCCGGGGATAGGCAGCAAGGTCTGAGCCTATTTTTTTTTCAAGACACCCTTCCCCCTTCCCCCCATGATGGAATGATTTAATAAACAGCTCATGTTATAGTTTATATTAGTTGAATGCACTTTTTTGATATGTATAGCTTGTTTATATAATAAAGGAGGATATAATTTTAATGCTTCATTTATAGTCATGTGCCACATATCAATGGTTTGGTCAATGACAGACCACATATACAATGGTGGTATTCTGTATAACATAGGTGTGTAGTGTTCTATATCATCTAGGTTTGTGTACGTACACTCTGATGTTTGTACAATGACAAAATTGTGAAAAGATGTTTTTCTCAGAGTATATTGCCATAGTTCAGCAGTGCATGACCAAATAGATTCATATATTGATTTAAAATGCCATTCTAGTAGTTGAATATATTTAGTATCACCACTAGGTAGAGGCATTGATTTACTGAGGCTCTAAGTATGGGCGTTAAAATATATAATATTTATATGTATATATGTGTGTGCGTGAGTGTAAGAAGAATTTGCAAACTAATAGAAAAATAAATAGAATGAGAAAGCTAAAAAAGCAAAGAACTGACCAGACCCAGAAGAGACTAATTTGTTGAGACCAAAGGTTTAGTAAACAAGTCAAGCTACTCATCAGGAGGAGAGCTTGGGTGCAGGAGCAACAGAGGCCAGTCCCAAGGGTGCAGAGGGAGAGAGAAATAGGTCAGGCTCTGTAGAGGCCCATTCACATGTGAAAAGTTGAGGAAAAGGTGCATAGGGCTCACACAACAAGCTGGGACTGGTTAATTCTTTCCACCTGACCATCTATAGAGTGATGAATAATGCCACCACAACAAACATTTTGCCCATTCTTCAAAGTGAGACCTTGGCCTTGAGCATCTCCAAGTGCTTTGTCAGGGAGATAGGGACATGGCCAATAGAGTCAATAGATTCAGTTCTGCCTAGGTCTGTTATTGGTTTGGATGCTCAGGGCTACAAAGCCACTCCCTGCTCTACACCAGGGTATTCCAGGAGGAAAACCTCATGTGTCTAAGGCCTGGAGTCAGAATTGTCCAACAGAGCCCAAGAGGACAAGATGTGCCTTAGCTCCTGCTCCCAGCTCCCAAATCATACTATCTTGAGGGTAGGTGAGTTGGCCCCTCCCTGTCATGAGGACACCCTAGCCATGCCTTGGTCAGTCTTGTATCTCCTTCTGGTGGGCTTAGGAAATAGGATTTACCCAAAGAACAGCAATCTGTTCAAGCATACAGGAATCTCACCTAAACATTTGAGACTGAAAGCCATTTCGGGACAGGAGTGAATTCACCAAATGGTGGCACTTTTCTCTGAGGGGTCCTGGGACATGGTTAATAATTACAACTGTAGACAGTTACTGAGCATTCTGTGTCCCATATCATGCAAATCAGCTACATACTATATATGCTCATGTCATCTTGATTGATATACCTACGAGGAAATTAAAGCTCAGAGAGGTGAAGATACTTGACCAGAGTTGAGATTGTAACCCAGGTGTATTACCACCAGGAAAAGAGCTACACCACTACTCACTCCAGGTCTACCCAAGCCCATGTCCACCAGCGTTCTCTAGGCCGAATTCTGGACCTCACCCTTTAACCAGGCAGGACTATTCCTTTGGGATTCTATACAAAAAGCAAGAGGCAAAATGCACAAAGTCTCCTTGTAGCTCACTGTGCTGAGCCCAGCCAAGAAACCAAGACCCCAGGAATCCCTGTGGCCTGCTGTCTGGGCTGAAGCTTCTTGTTATCCTGGAAACAATGACCTCAGTGACTAATAGTGGCCTCATTTAGGAGTTTGGCACTGGCTGCTTTTTACCATCATTGGTGAGGTTCTACATGCAGTTCTTAGCCCTCTCTGTCCTAGGCAAACCAGAACAGTTGGTCACCTTAGCAAGAAGGCAAGTTGGATACACACAAAGCACCATCCAGAATTCAGTCAAAATTAGTGTGGCACAGAGTTTAAGTGCCGCGAACTATGGTCTGAGAGCAGGGATCTCAGCCCAGGGCTGTAGCTGACTCATGACCTTCGAAAAAACACTTCCCTCCAGGAGCTTCAGTTACCCCATCTGACACATGAGGACATTCCAGTTCTGTGGAAGGTGAAGTAACATCATCCAATTAGTGTCACCAAGCAATGCAAAGTGCACCACCTGTTGGAGAAGCAATTTGGCAAAACCTGGCAAGTCATAGAATTGGTCACATCCTTTCACACACTTTCTTATCCCTTGGGACTTACAATTCCAAGGTAGTAGCTCAAGAGAAATAGAAAAGTTCTTTGCAGAAACATGTGCATTGAAGGACTATCTATCATGGCAAAGAGGTGGAAGCAACCTCAACACTACAACAAGAAGCAGTGAACTAGGGATGCTGCATCCACTGGGAGGGATCAAGTACTGCAGTCATTAGAAAGGTCCATAGGCTGTTGGGGAAATTTAAACCAACTCGGGAAAGGCAAAGGGACATGGCCAAAATGAAAACATGAAAAGGTGTTGCTGCAGAGAAAGACTAGTGGAAAAGGGAAAGATGTTAATAATAGTTGCACTGCTTGGTAAGATCAGATGTAAATATTTCTGCACTTTGTCAGGTGGTGTACACCACTAAGATATTATTTTTCACACACACACACACAAAGGAATTAATAAATGAGAAAACTTTAGCTGTAGTCTCCACAGGCACTTCTGGGATTAAATCAGTCAGCCATGTCCTGATTGGTGCCCATGCAAACCAAGGGCCTGAGAGCCTTGCTGTATGTCCCTGGACTGCCCAGAAACGGTATGCATTGCAGCAATTGCCAGGCAACACAGGGATGGAGCCAGGACTCCTGACATTTACGCCAATGTATCTCCCACTACCAGCCTTCATCCCTCAAGCTCTCTATTGTGGTGACAATATCCACACCTGGTACACTGGTCAGAGATTTTTGCTGCAATCAAAGAAACCAATTCTGGCTGATTTGGGCAGAAAAGGAATGTATAAGAATAGTATCAAGTAGCTCATAGACATTAGAAACAATTAGACACAAGCATTAAAGGAAAAGAAGACATTGACCAAATAATGCTGAAAAGCCAAGAACTCAACCAAATTCCACAGAGGAAAAATATGGAGAAGCTAGGCTATGGTAAAGGTTTGGCTTGAGTGGCTTCTTGCGATGCTACCACTCTGGAAAACCTATTGCCCACAACCACAAAAGGACCCAGACCCAGGATTCTGCCTTCCCTGCTGGGTTCCCCAGATAGGCCACTGAGTCTATGCCTAAGGACCCCACTGCCCCACGCATACATGACTCAGTGAGGGCACCAAATGCTCACCTTTCAAATTTATTCTTTTCAGGGCAACATGTGGACATATCCTGGTTCCAAGTGGCCCACATTAAAGAGGATGGGATACTCATGGAGAAGCCAGCCAGTGTGGAGCCACAGTACATAGTCCTGGAGAACCCTAGCTTCTCCCCCATGGGCGTTCTACTGAGAATGATCCACACAGCCCTGAGCATTCCAGTCATCTCCAACGTGTTGCTCTACTATCGCCTCCAATCCAAGGAAGTCAACTTCCACCTCTACCTAATCCCCAGCGACTGCACCATTCAAAAGGTTGCCCCAATAGCTGGAAAGGGCAGGCAAGGATGGGTTGACAGAGACATGACATGCATCCAGAGAGCTCCCTATTGGGTCAACTGGGCTTAAGTATGGGACATGAACTGGTGTCCTGTCCCTAAGGCCTTTCCCAACTGGGCTCACTGCTTCACTACTCATTGCTAGACACCTTTTGCAGCTTCTTTCCAGGAGTCAGAAGGATGGGAGGGGCTCCCTGCCCAGAGCTGCACCCACTCCTCCATTCTCAATTCTTCTCTAGCCGTGCCCCATTCACACCCTGAACACAGCACTGGCCAAGTATGGGGATCTCTGTGTAGCAGTCATTGGGTTGGGAGAGTTGAGTGCTATAACCCCTTCACTCACATAAATATGTGAAAACACCACCTCATCTTGTTCAGACCAGATTCTATAGGGTGGACTATCTGGATTAGACCACAGAAACCCTTTTCTTAATCAGTGTCCGTATGCCCCTTAGGCCATAGATGATGAAGAAAAGAAGTTCCAGTTTTTTCAAATACGCAAGCCGCCTCCGCTGACACCACTCAACGTGGGTTTCCGATATACTGTGTCTGGTTCAGACAAGTTGAAAATAATCCCTGAGGTGAGCAGCTTAGATATCCCCTCCTCCCTGAGAGGTCATGCTTGGGAATAGCTGTGAGACAGGTTTCAGAGCTTCCCCAGGGGCAGGCCCAGTTAGGGTTGGGCAGACAGCGAGTGGAATTTTGGGTAAGCAGGAATGCTTCAAAGGTTGGGAGAAAGGAGGATAGTAAGAGGCAGGTTCATATTCAGGATAGGGATAACAATGGGGTTTGACTTAGGGGAAGTAAGAAGTGTCGGGCTATAGGGTGTTGATGCTCTTCAAGCAAAACCAACAGGAACACACCTGTAGCTGAACACAGTGGGATTGTTACTCATTGCAGTGAGAGAACACACACCAATGGGAACCGTGGGGCCCGTCACATCAAAAGACGCAGAAAGAACCTATTTCAGGATTTGGGCCTTAGTTGGATAATTTCGGGGAAGATCTAAGGAAATGGAGATTTGGTCTAGGTCTGGTATTCTGAGAATGTAGGGCAATTCTATGATTGGGAACCTCTACACATTTTCTCTCTAAGAAGGGCAGGCACCACAATTGTGAAGATATAATTGCTAAAATAGCTCATTTTGAAGTGGAACAGGGGCAAGTTTGGCGATTGTGAGGTTATATGTGTTCAACAGGAGGATAACACAGCAGAGATGGCGGCATCAGATCAGTTTGTAATAACAATGAGGTCTAGTTGTGAGCATCGCATCAGGTCTGGGCATCAGGGGCTGTCTTCTATCCTTTCTCAGTCTCCCCTTTCTCCAAAGGGAATGACGTCAGGCCACTGGACATTCATTCATGATATCCTAATGTTCACCATTGCCAAGATTTGTTGCTTAGGGTCAGATTTTAAACTGAATGGTAGTTTGCAGGTCAACCAGAGTTGATCTTTCTTTTTTTCCCTTCTGTTCTGATATGAGTCCTTGGACCACTTGAAGTGACAATGACAGATGGAATACATTTCCAGGAGTAATGAGGAAATGTTATGTATCTTTTGAGTTGAGAAACATGAATCCAACAATGAATACCTTAGATTTTCCTGCTGTGTTAGATCTTAACAAGTGATGAGAGACATGATTAAGTGATTCATCACACATTTACCCAGTGCCAACCATGTGCTGTCTTCATTTGTGAGAGTCCAGTGAACAAGACAGAAAGGCCCTGCCCTTGGGAAGATGACATTCTGGTGGATGAGACCTACATCATTAAAGAAATGGACCTAGAACCATGAAGTGCTATGAGGAAAACACAACTATGTCACTTAAGAGAGTGACTTGGGCTGCTTTATATTGGGTGGTCAGGGGAGGAGCCACTGAGCTGTGACATATAAGCTGAGACCTGAGTGACAAGAAGGGTGAATATTTGTAACAGAGCACTTCAGGTGCAGAGGAGAGAGCAGCAGAGACCCTTAATCCCTCCACATGACAAATAGGAGGTCAGTGTGGCAGAGCTTAATGAGTGTAGCAAAGAGAGAAGAAAGATGGAGTCACACAAGAGACAGAGGTTTCCTAGGGCCCATCAACTCTGTTGCCCTGATATGGAGTTTGGATTTTGTTCTAAGTGCAATGATAAGATCTCAGAGGTTGTTGCTTGGTAATACAAGACCTGCTTTAGTTTCACATAGATGCCTCTGGCTGCTGGGTAAGAATGTGTGATAAGAAGACAAGAGTGAAAACAAAAGACAAATCAAAAGGCCATTGCTATGGTACCTGCAGGAGCTGCAGATGCCTTGATTAGGGAAAAAGCAGCTGAGATGAAGATTAGTTGATGGATGGAGCCGTTCTCAACCTGTGGGTCGTGAACAATGAAAATACATCCTGCAAACCAAGATGGCGGCATAGGTTAACGTGGGAGTTTGCTGCCTCGAATACCACTTCAAAAATACAACTAAAAGGACGGGAACGGACATCATCCAGAACCACAGGAAGGCTGGCTGAGTGGAAGTTCTACAACTAGGAGGAACCGAGAATCAGAGGAGGCGCAGTGCTGAAGTAAAATACCTAAGGTGCGGAGTGCGCGCAGCGCAGGCTGGTGGCTGAGGGCGCGGTTGACTATTTCAATCCAGAGGGAGCCTCAGACTCTGAGCTCCAGATCCGGGCGAGTCTCTAGGGACCCAGACTCAAACGGGAGAAGCGGGAATGTCTGGCTTCGGTCCCTCCGAGGTTTGCAGCGGTTGCTGGGACAGAGAGGCAGAGCCCCTGGGGACAGACTGAGAGCAGCCATAACTGCTCCCTCCTCCGCCCTGTTGATCCTGTGGGACCCGCCCTGCCCAAGCCCTGCACAGAGCCATTTGCCGGATAGCCTCAGGCAAAGGCTAGATTAGCACCTCCCTAGAGAACAGAAGTTCTCCCACTGCAAACACAGCTGATTCTCACAACCAGTTGGCCTGGAGGTCAAGTAGTAATTACCCACAACAATCAAGGCTTGACTACAAGACTGCTCACAGAGACCACAAGGGGGTGCACCAAGAGTGCCTACCTCAGGTAATTGGGACACTTAACACGGAAAGCCAATCTATCGACACAGCGAAGCATAAAAAAATGCCAAGACAAAGAAACAGGCCACAAAGGACAGAACCGGAGGAAAGCAGGCTACTGGATATAGAATTCAAAACCACACTTTTGAGATCTCTCAAGAGGCTTCCAGAGGCTGTCGATAAACTTGATGAGATGTACAGGAAATCTAATGAGACCCTCGATGGTGTGATAAAGGACCAACTAGAAAGTAAGCATACACTGACTGAAATAAGGAATATTATACAGACTCCCCACAGCAGACCAGAGGAGGACAAGAATCAAGTCAAAGATTTGAAATGCGAGGAAGCAAAAAAAAAAAACCAACTGGAAAAGCAAAATGAAAAAAGAATCCGAAAGTGTGAAGATAGTGTAAGGAGCCTCTGGGACAGCTACAAGCGTACCAACATCAGAATAATAAGGGTGCCAGAAGATGAGAGAGAGCAAGATATTGAAAACCTATTTGAAGAGCCAAAACCGGTTTGGCTCAGTGGATAGAGCGTCGGCCTGCGGACTGAAGGGTCCCAGGTTCGATTCCGGTCAAGGGCATGTACCTCGGTTGCGGGCACATCCCCGGTGGGAGATGTGCAAGAGGCAGCTGATCGATGTTTCTCTCTCATCGATGTTTCTAACTCTCTATCTCTCTCCCTTTCTCTCTGTAAAAAATCAATAAAATATATTTAAAAAAAAAAAGAAAACCTATTTGAAGAAATAATGGCAGAAAACTTCCCTTACTTGGTGAAAGAAATAGACTTACAAGTCCAGGAAGCGCGGAGAACCCCAAATAAAAGGAATCCAAAGAGGACCACACCAAGACACATCGTAATTAAAATTCCAAGAGCAAAAGACAAAGAGAGAATCCTAAAAGCAGCAAGAGAAAGAAACTCAGTTACCTACAAGGGAATACCCATACGACTGTCAGCTGATTTCTCAACAGAAACTTTACAGGCCAGAAGGGAGTGGCAAGAAATATTCAAAGTGATGAATACCAAGAACCTACAACCAAGAGTACTTTATCCAGCAAAGCTATCATTCAGAATTGAAGGTCAGATAAAGAGCTTCACAGATAAGGAAAAGTTAAAGGAGTTCATCACCACCAATCCAGTATTATATGAAATGCTGAAAGGTATCCTTTCAGAAGAGGAAGAAGAAGAAAAAGGTAAAGATACAAATTATGAACAACAAATACGCATCTATCAACAAGTGAATCTAAGAATCAAGTGAATAAATAATCTGATGAACAGAATGAACTGGTGATTATAATAGAATCAGGGACATAGAAAGAGAATGGACTGACTATGTTTGGGGGGGGGGGAAGGGGTGTGGGAAATTCGGGAAGAGACTGGACAAAAATCATGCACCTATGAATGAGGCCAGTGCGTGGGGAGTGAGGGCGGAGGGTGGGGTGGGAACTGGGAGGAGGGGAGTTATGGGGGGAAAAAAGAGGAACAAATGTAATAATCTGAACAATAAAGATTTAATTATTAAAAAAAAGAAAATACATCCTACATATCG